TTGCCAGGACTAGAATCTTCGTATGGAAAAGAATCTAGGCAACTGGCTTGCTGCACAGTTCATGATAACAAAGTATGCCAAGATATAGAGTACCTTGCATGATCTGCCAAGAGATAGAGTACCTTGTGTGCTATCTACCAGCAGCTGATAACATTATACTCTGCAGAATCTTCTCAATCATGTTTAAGCTATCTGAAATTACGGCAGGGAGGATTCCTATGGAAATGGGGTAGATTGAAACTGTCAACTTCCGACATTACGCCGTTTACTTGCACTCCAAGCCAGTTGATCTTGCAACCATGACCGATACTATGGAAGCTGAGCTGGATATGGGATGCTCCGACAGTCTGGAGAAAAAGGATGATATTGCACCTTGGGATATCAGAGACATTGGAGCAGACCTCTATGCGGAGGTGGAGCGATTATCGCCAGAGGAACTGGAGGAAGAAGGGGTCCGAGTGCGCAAGATGTTAGATCGCAGGATATTGCCAATTGTACGTCCCCATAGGATCCACTGTCTTGCTAATTGCATCGTGCTGTGTATCAGTCACTGACGGTTCGCCTGGTCAGCTATATTTAACCTTTGTAATGCAGTTTCTGGGTTAGACATGCTCATTCACTCGGACGATTCTTGAAGAGACCTGCTCATTTGTGATTCATAGACAAGCTTTCGCTCAACTACGCCTCGGCCTATACCTTGATCCCAGATCTCGGGCTCGAAGGCCAGAGATATTCTTGGGTTGCTGCCATATTCTACTTTGGGTACTCCAGACCCTTTCCTCATACAATGGAGCCGACTTCGCTAACCCGACAAGGTACGTGTTCTGGGCAATCCCGGCGAATCTCCTGATTCAACGATTGCCCCTAGCGAAGTATATGGGTGGAGCCATCATCATTTGGGCCGGGCTCGTTATTGCGCATATCGGCGCTAAGAATTATGCGGGTATCCTAGTCTTGAGGTTCCTGTTGGGTATGGCAGAGGCATGCGTGAGTCCGTGCCGTAAGTTCCAATAAATTGGTCATCCATCGCTTCGGGCTCGGAGACTGACTAATGCAGTGATGAACTTCACTTCCATGTTCTACAAAAGATCTGAACAGCCTCTGCGTATGAGTCTCTGGATGTCTGGCAATGGCATGGCCACGATGATCGGAGCGCTTCTCAGTTTCGGACTGGGCCATTCTCATAATACCAAACTTCATAGCTGGCAGCTCATCTTCCTCACGATCGGTTTGATGAACTTCGCCACTGGTTGTCTCTTCCTCTGGCTGATGCCCGACTCCCCGAGCTCCGCAAAGTTCCTCACTCACCAGCAACGCGTCGTGGCAGTTCAGCGAGTATCAGAGAACATGATCGGGGTCAAAACCAAGCAGATCAAGCCGCATCAGGCTCTCGAAGCGTTATACGACCCCAAGGTCCTCTTCTCCCTAGGAATTGGAATTGGCTGCGGCGTCATCAACGGCGGCGTATCCAACTTCTCCTCGGCGCTCATCAAGGGTTTCGGCTTCAACGGCATCTACGCAACCCTCCTCCAGCTCCCCACGGGGGCCATCCAAGCCGTCGTGGTGCCCATCTGCGGCCTGGTCGCGACCTACGTCCGTGACTCGCGCTGCCTCGTCCTCGCCGCGGTATGCCTCATCCCGTTCGGCGGGCTTCTCGGCATCCGATTCTCCAGCCTCGACCACAGATGGACTCTGGTCGGCTGGACCTGGCTGCAGTACATCATCGGCGCCCCAATCATCGTGTCGTGGAACCTCTTAGCGACAAACGTCGCCGGACATACCAAGCGCTCGATGGCCAATGGCATGTGGTTCACCATGTTCGCAGCAGGTCACGTCGCTGGCGCCAAAATCTTCTTCGCCCGTGAAGCGCCCCGGTACAACTCCGCCTTGACAGGTCTGCTAATCTGCTATGCTGGCATGATTGTCCTGGCACTCGCTTCGTATGTATACATGAAACGGGAGAATCTGCGGAGAGATCGCATGGCGTCGCCGAAAGATAGTCACACGCTGCGCGAGGAAGCTGCTATTCTTGATGGGTTCAAGGACTTGACCGACATGGAGTCAGAGAAGTTTCGTTATGCGTTATAAAGATTTGACTACAAGAACAGTCAGCCACTCTTATATATCATCTTCCATGATGATTGTATCCGTTGACCCTGATCCTGGCCGGTCCAGTTGCATTTCTAAAACTGTCCGAGTCAGAAAACAAAGAATGGGGACAGTGGAGACTGCGTACTGCAGGCTAAATGCAGAGTGGGGTGGTGGAGCCAGGGGCTTGCCACGTGATAATAGATGCGGAGCAACGCATGTGGCACGGAGCAAACTCCATGCCTGATACGGTAACAATAGGTGGCATGGAAAGTACGACTATCAGATGCTGGTGAGTGCTCTTTTGAGTGTAGGTACATGTGATGAAAGCTCCCCTAGACTTTATGAAATCTTGAATTGTAATTTATGTACATGCAACATTCTTCATGCCATAGTCGTTCAACCTAAGCCTTCTCGATGTACTCATCGAAGATCTCGCGGAGGACCTTGGCGCTCTTCTTGGGGATTCTCTTTTGGTTGTTTGCGTAGTCGACGAAGGTGACGCCAAATCTGGTCTCGTAGCCTTCGGCCCATTCAAAGTTGCTGCACGGGGAAGACGATCTGTCAGCCAGCTGGTCCGGTACGTCTCAACGAAAGAAAACTTACTCCATCAAGCTCCACGCCATGTAAGCGCGGACATTCACACCGTCCAGCGTGTAAGCGTCCGCCATGGCAGCGATATAGTCGCGGAAATATTGCACGCGGAACTCGTCATTCAGGATCTGGTCCACGGGCAGGTCATTCTCGCCCTTGAGACTGGTGCCATTCTCGGTAACGTAGATCTTGGGCTGGTTGTAGCGGTCGCTGAGCCATTTCAGCAGCTTCCGGAACCCAATGGGGTGGGGTCGCAGCCAGGGCGATTGTGTCTCGGGACCGATCCATTCGCCGTTCTTGTTCTGCAGGAGTATCTCCAGGTTGCCGGCGACGTCATTCGGGTCAGGCTCGCCTGTCTTGGCTTTGATGTAGTTGGCGCAGTAGTGGTTCATACCGTAGAAGTCGTTGCTGCCGTGGACGAGGGCGATATCTTCGGGGGTCCAGGTGGGCAGGCGGTCACCCAATTGTTTGACCATGCTGTCTGGGTACTTGCCGTGATAGATGGGGTCAGCGAACCAGGAAATAGCGAACTCGATCTTGCGATCGCAGGCCTCAACATCTGCGGGGTTTTCGGGATCCCAAGGCTCAGCCCAGTCACCTGGAATTTGATCAGCAACTACTTCATGAAGCTATGCACATGGAGGCCCGAGCTCGTACCATTCAATGTGATGCCGATCTCACCACCGTCTCTTGGTTTGAATTCTTCTCTGTAAATCTTCACCGCCGCTCCGTGAGCGACAAGGATGTTGTGGCCGACGATCCAAGGCTCGCGCGAACCGTCACCCACAGAACTCTTGGTACGGTCGCTGGTCCTGCCCGGGGCGAACTGGCCCACATTGTATCCGAGAACACTGCTGCACCAGGGCTCATTGAAAGTAATCCAGTACTTGACTTTTGAGCCGAAAGCATTGAACATTACGCGAGCATAGTTGGCAAAATCGGCAACAAATTCTTCCTTGTTCAGAAGACCGCCGTAGCGCTTGTCAAGCGCATCGGGAAGATCCCAGTGGAAGAGGGTAACGAGGGGAGTAATACCCGCCGCGAGCAAGTCGTCGACGAACTTGACGTAGTGCTGGAGACCCTTTTCATTGACAGGGTCATTCCGGCCACCGAGAGGGATGACACGAGACCTGCATTTTATGATCAAGATAGGGTCAGCCGAAATCCGTTCTCTCCCACTGTCCTAGGCTGTGCAAAGACGCACCATGAGATAGAGAAACGGTATGCCTTTGCACCACACTCCTTGAGCAGGGCAATATCCTCATGGGTGCGGTGGTAAGAGTCACAAGCCACCTCGCCAGAGGCTCCACCGGCTATTTTGCCGGGGAGTTTGCAAAATGTATCCCAAATAGATGGGCCTCGTCCATCTTCGTCCACAGCTCCCTCAATCTGGTAGCTAGATAACGAAATAACGGCGACTATTAGTTAAAGGCCTGGTAAAAGAGAAGACATGAGATCAGATATACCTCGCAGTTGCGAATCCCCATAGAAAATCAGAAGGAAGAGTCGAGGTAGTTGTGGAGCCCATGACTGAATGGATCTTGAGGGAATGGATTCAGACAGCTTTCTTGTTCTTTCAATGGATGGGACAGCTATTGAAAGAAGCCCTGGTATGTCTGAGAAAATTTCTCCAGGATGACCCAGGAGATTGGACGGATATTTAAGTCTGTCTTCCTGGCAATTCAAGTGCTCTCCATCAAGCGATGGAGGGGTGAGCGGGGAACCGTCTTGGAGAATCGACGGACTGCATCACGGTTCACCCAGTCACCAGTTCCTTGGTCCAACCATTCTACAGTATAACTCCCAAGAGTGGAAGACCCTGTAAATAGTCCAGGAAGCGAAGGCTGCGCCCAGAGGAATACTGGTGTGGGGCGGCGTAGATTAATGGCTATCATTTAGCATAATGAGGCCTTGCTGACATTCGGGGAGTTGATGCCTGGCGGGGCACCTGAGGCACTGGCCGCACTGCAACAGCAACGGCTCGACGGGCCGTCAACCGATTGACGGTAGCTATATTGAACTTGTTGGAGGTCTTCCTAAAATAATTGAGACGTATTGTTTCAACTGGTAGTAAGGAGGTAGTGGCTACCTGTCCTGGTTACGTCAAATATCATACATAACTATACCCGTAATGGTCCCATAACTCCCCCAAAATGCTTATTGCTAGTAATACATCCGTGCGTTTGCCAAATTGACGCCCATCCAGTAGTAGAAATAGGAAAGCCATACACAGTCATTGAAGTCATATGGTCGGCGTGTCCGCTCCTGAACGGTAGTTTCCCCTGGTGCAGTGTCTGAATGAATTGGGAGCCCGAAGGTCAAACAATCTCCATTCCATCTACATCGTCCCCTTCGAGGTCATCCACGTCGTCAGTCATAGCGCCTCCAACAGAAGGCCGGGATCGCTTGGTATCCCTGCTGAGATCAAGCCCCTCCGCTCCTAGAGCACCCACTAGCTCCAGTTCGGGCCCGGCAACAATCCGACCTTCCATGTCGACCACCTCGCACAGCTCAATCAAGCTCTGACGACTGAGGGACTTGAAGCCGTCGGTCCGCACAACGCGCCCCCAGTGGCTGAGGCAAAATTGTGCGGCGCGCCGCATCAACCAATCTTCGTTGGTCCGCCCGGCCCGTTCCCAGATGATGGCCGCGTTCTCCACATCTAACTCGCGGCTCAAGCGATTCACGCAGAGCAGGCGCAGCTTTGGCATGTCATATAGGTTCGCCATGACGAGCATACCTGCAACATCGATGATGCTGGAGCAATATTCAGGGTGCCCTGATATGCTGTCTGTGTATAGATAGTAGAGGAAAGCACGGACGACAGAGTATGGTTCAGGAATATGCATTCTCTTAGAGTGATACTCTGCCATTTGCGCGGAATACAGTCGCTTGAAATGCGGCCACCGAAGCTGCAGGATGATCCGATGTACATGAATAGGAGGCGAAGTGGGAGCATTCGCGGGCAGGAACGCCGGTTGAGAGTCTGTCGGAGGAGCATCCTCTGCCACATCGTCCGGATATTCGATGTCATCCGGATTTGCGGTGATGATAAAGTCAGCATCACTGCCAGACTCTGGAGGTTGGTCGAAGACAGCGGAGAGATCCGCACCAAGCCCAGAAATGGGCGGCAGTCCTGACCTTTCCGATACCAAAGCCCGGCTTTGATCAGGAGACAGGGTCGCCAGTTCATTGCCAAGCAAACCGTATTTCTCCAGGTCAATGCAAAGCACTTCGCTCATATGATTTTCATCACTGTTGCCAGGCGCGGCGCCAACCTCAAGGCTGCATCCCAGCAGCCAGGCTTTGGTGCCACTAGCGTTGACTGTACAATAATGCCAGCGGTACCCGGGCTTGAAAATCTCTTGCCCATCAGCTAGTTTCTGCCACCGAAGAGTGTCAAGCTCCAAAGCCGATAACTTGCACTCATACGTCCGGACGGTTTCGGAAGGAGTGATCAGGTCGAGGAGGACACCAGATGCATGAGCCTGAAAGTGGGTTCCAGCAGACAAGGCAGGAACATAAGGACCGGATCGGAACTTATGACAAGAGATAGCTCCTGGGGCAATTGGCTTTTTTCGACCGGAGTTGCGAACTTGTACACTCCCAGAATTCGCCGCGTAGCTACCGGACCGGCCAGGCAGCTGCTGGGTTGGACTACTATATACCGTGTCTGGACTATGAGTCATCCTGTTGAGTATTTCGGGGGAATCCACGGTACCTTGCGAAGACGGGGTTCCAAGAAACGGCGAGCCCTTGAGATCAAGCCACCAAATATCAGTTGTGCGTTCCATATCCGGGTCAAGGCCTCCGAATATCCAAAGACGGTCTCCCCAAACCCAGGCGGTGTGGTCGAAACGAGCTGTGAATCTCCAACTCCGGGACCAAGTCCATGTTTTCAGGTCAAGGTAGCATAGGTCATCGAGAATCACATTGTTCTCTCCAGTAACACCGCCTATGATGAAAAGCTTCTCGTCATGAATGACAGCAGCATGACGAGCCCTTCCCCGCGGGATTTGTCCACGAATTTCCGGTTGAGTCCAGGTCGAAGTGGGGATATCGAGGATGACGATATCAGATAGGTATTCGCGATGTTCATTTTCTCCCCCGAAGACAATGAGTTTGTCGCCTTGATACAGAGTAGCAGTGTGTCCTATAAAGAGTATTGAAACAGAAACATATTAGCGGAACTCAAGAAAGGCATCTGCTATGAATCGACCAACCCATGCGAACACCGGGAATATCGCCATAGTTATCCACAAGTTCCCAACGAAGTACTTCCAAGTCTAACCTCAGAACATGGTTGTAAACTATTTCAGTCCAAACGTTAGCATGAGATATGATGTAGAGATTCGATCGAACCGTAGAATAAAATCTGTATCAACCTTCGTCTGTGAACTGATCAAATCCCCCAAATGCATAGATCTGGTCATTGTTGCAATACGTCACGGATGCATTGACCAAACACGCAGGGACATTGCCTTGTGCTTTGCGGATAACGGGGCGATAATCCGTGCTGCCACGGCGACCTCTAGCTGGACTGGTCGGCATGAGGTACGCGCTCTGTGGTCTCTGATGAACTGAAGGAGTGGGAGTCATCGGATTTGAAGTTGAACCTCTTGATGATCTGATCCAAGACGGTGGGTCCTCGCGGAATTGGGCGAAGACCGGGGCGGATGTAGTATTACTGATAATAGTGGAGGACGGCTGCCGCGCCATCGGGCTCTCCAAAAGGGCCAAGTCGTATTGCTGACCCCACAGCCGTGGTTCAAAAAAGACAAAAAAGAGATAATTGAAGAGTCGATAGAATTAGAGACGCAGATTTGTATTTCTAAAGTAGCCCAAAGAGTCGGCCGATCAGGACCCGGACACGATTTTGCAATGACGACAAGGAAGAAAAGTGTGCAAAAGCGCCAAGACGATCGGCGCCCAACGAGAAGGAAAGAGCCTCACGTCATGTGGACGCTAACCCATTCGGTGTTAGAACACCCGTACCTCAGGTAACCGTTGCCATGGGAGAAAGAACTATACGCTGTATTTATTCCCCTGAATCTCTGCTCTGCTGCTCTCAGAATCCATCTTCCTTTTGCATTTTTCTCAGTTACGCTCGTATCTGATATTTGCTTGCATAGTATATGATTCGTTTTGTCGGTTTATACTTGCATACACTACCATTTCGTTGCGTCTTAGACCTACATCCTCATTGGATGACCGAATTTGGCAATTGAGATCGAGGAGCATTTTCTTCTCTGGAGCACCTTCTAATATACCATTCGTTGGGGATTGCACATTACAAACATGGCTACTCCATTGATATCGACTCCGGTGAAGTCCCATCACGGACTGTTTTCATCGAAGACCGCTGGCGGTCGCATGCCTCTCACACCATCTCCTCACACAAGAAGAGCGAGTGTGGCATCAAATCATTCATCTCCCTTCACGCCTCCTCGCCAATCGGCAGATGCAGCAAAAGACAACAGTCGCTCGGTCTACGGCGGCAATCTGTCCTCATACTTTGCTAAATCGGTCGCGAAGACATCAAAAACTTACCGGGAATCTCCCAAATCCAACATTGCGAGGACGCGCAAGTCACCAAGGCATCTTGAGCTTGGTGTCTCGGACTGGTCTTTAACCGGCACAGGTCCCTCGTCGGGACAGTCTCCGTCGTCGAAAGAGCGAGTGCGGAAAGAGGTTTCTGCTCGCACAAGGTCGGGCAAGACCACCGTTCGCATCGCTCACAATGCTGGTGACAGATTCATTCCCAACCGGTCCGCAAGCGAAGGACTGACAACAACTGGGACCGCCAAACCGGAGGAGAACCAGCGGCCTAAGACGGGCAGCAGTGAAGGATCCGCCGTCCTTGCAAGTGCTGCGAGCGCCTTCGACATCGGAGGTCGAGGAGGCGACGATGATCTGACTGCTGCTCTTGAAAATCTTGGTCTCGAGGACAATGACAATTCAACAACGTCGTACACCAAGCCCGCACCTGATGCCGTCGCCTACGAATCTTCGCTCGCTGATGCCTGCGGCGTCAATTTGAACACTCGCATCCTCGCCTTCAAGCCACCACCTCCAGAATCGTCAAAGCCAATTGACTTAAGAGCACAGTACAATCGCCCATTGAAATCAAGCAAAGCCAAAGGTTCTCAATTCCGCCGCAGAGTCCAGACCGCTCCTGAGCGTGTGTTGGACGCTCCTGGTCTTCTTGATGATTACTATCTCAATTTGCTGGACTGGAGCTCTGGCAACCAGGTCGCTATTGGTCTTGAGCGCAATGTTTATGTGTGGTCTGCGGATTCTGGATCTGTCAGTTGCTTGCTAGAAACTTCCCCAGACACATACGTAAGCAGTGTCAAATGGAGCGGCGATGGCGCATATGTTGGAGTGGGTCTCGGCACGGGAGAGGTGCAGATCTGGGACGTGGAGGAAGGCACCAAGCTTCGAAGCATGTTTGGCCATGACTCCCGTGTTGGTGTGATGGGCTGGTCCAAGCACACATTGTCGACCGGTGCGCGCAGCGGTCTTGTCTTCAACCACGATGTTCGCATCGCTCAACACAAGGTTGCAGAACTCGTCTCCCACACCTCAGAAGTGTGTGGTTTGGAATGGCGACCCGATGGGGCTCAACTCGCCACCGGCGGTAATGACAACCTGGTCAACATCTGGGATGCGCGGTCTCTGAGTGCTCCCAAGTTTACCAAGACAAACCACCGCGCGGCCGTGAAGGCATTGAGTTGGTGCCCTTGGCAGTTGAACCTGCTCGCGACGGGTGGCGGCTCGTATGACCGTCACATCCACTTCTGGAATACCACCACCGGTGCCCGAACCAACAGTATCGACACTGGCTCACAAGTCACCAGCTTGAGATGGAGCAACCACTACCGAGAGATTGTCAGCTCAAGCGGATTTCCTGACAATTCTCTGAGTATCTGGAGCTATCCCACCCTGGTCCGTAACGTAGAGATTCCGGCTCATGAGACCCGAGTTCTTCACAGCTGCCTGAGCCCCGACGGTCAATTACTGGCCACTGCCGCTGCTGATGAGAGTTTGAAATTCTGGAAGATTTTCGAGCGCAAGCCTGGTACCAGTGCGTCCGCGTCTCGAGAAGGTGGTGTTGGAAGCAAAGCTCAGATGACCAAATCTATGACCATTAGGTAAATAGACGTCTGCTCTTCTGCCAGATTTGACTTGCTCTTATATCCTGACTTTATGTTACATCTTTTGTTGGAGGATTCCGCATGCGAGGCGTTCTGATGGGTTGACTTCTTATCTTTTGGTTCTCTGTATAGACACTGGGCACTAATGCTACTAACATAAGAGATAACTCACCAATTTGTATGATCTCCTTCGCTTTGTAGTTGTGACTGATCCTGGAAGCAAGCCAGCCATATCCATCAGGCAACCTGTTCGGAGTATGGTATCACATATTACTGATGATGGGGCGATGATGACGACGTCACTCAATTCAAAGGAGACCAGTAATAATTTAGTTTCTCAGTGCATTTCTTTAAAAGAAGAGTTAGTGAATTATTATTCTACAGAAAATGAGGATGAAGTGAAGCACTCATCCCTCCCAGATCTGGCCATGGTTCACTAGTTTGTGAGTGGGCGGAGATTACTAAGCATGCCGAGAGGAGGACGGATTTCGCCCGGGGAGAGCGACTTTGACCTCAACCAGAACCCTACAATACGCTGCGTTGCCGTCTTTCTCTACCTGCCGATTCCCCACCAGAGGGTCGATTTCTCGATATTTTCCAATCTTCAGCTTCAGTCTCATTGCAGGGACACATACAATCCACAAGCACAATTTCATAATTTGGAGTTGCTCAGGTGTCATTAGACGTCGGGGTTGATCGGTCGCATCTTGGCCGTGGCAACTGACCGTTGCTGTGACGGAGGTGCAGTTCTGATAGACCAGTGGAACACAACGCCTTCCCTGCTGGAATTTAGTATAGAGAACAGGAAGAAACGAAACAAGAAGCTCTGATCTACGTCTTCTCATTCTTGAGTCTCTCTTATTGCCGCAACCATGTCTAACCAGCAGGTGGTGAGTGCTATCTCCAAACAGCCCTACCTTACCTGACCAGGGAAACTGGAGAGATCTTTGGGCTTGCCCTGTCTCTTGCCCTTCTCCTTCTCTCCGTGATAATCTTCAGCCCATATTTTGTGAGGATGTTGGCTTATACCAGATGATGTGCAGGGCATGGTGTTTGACCGTGTCATCCAGGAGGTCTGCGATGCTTCTCAGGTCGATTTCGAAGAAAGTGGTGTCGATCAGCAAACGTTAATAGATCTGCGAAAGGTGGGTTCAAGATATCTCTTCATTCTGTGATGATTTTTTTGATGGAAAACCATCATGATGCCCTTGATTCCCAGGGAGCGGTGTTCTGTCGTGATCAATCCCGGCCCAAGGCGGGGGTCCGAGGATTGCGGGAGGCGGCGCTGCTCCCGGGGGAAACACCAGCTTTTGAGTCTCTTTATACCGCGCCGCTTTTACCCGCTCCTGTGGCCCGTTTTGGAGAGGGGCGCGGTTAGTCCGCCAAGGCCCGCGCCCACTTAGCAGTTCACAGTTAAACGGCGTTATCTCGTCATCTAATCTCACTGTTTCAATTGTTTATTCTATTTTGGTTTATTTTATTTCATTGCATTGTCTATTTCTTTCTGATGCTGTTTCCACCATTATCCTGTCTATGGCATCTTACTGAAACTATATCTCAATATAGAGCTGGCAGAAAAAGCTCTCGTCGCTTGGTGTCGCCCACTTCCCTTGGGATCCTGCACCACCACAGCCCGCCCCTCCTCAGACTCAAAACCAAATACTCCCTCCTACTGCTCCTGTGCCTTCCAACGCTCCTCGACCCGCTCCTCCGCAGCAGACACAGCAACAACATGTTCCGCCCCAACAACATCTTCCCCAATCCCTACCGGGAACCGTACCTCCGATGCAAGCTCCTGCGCCCGCACACATGGGGCAGCAATCTCACATCAAGACCGAACCGGGCCTCAATGGGCAACCAGGAATGCCTCACATGAGCAACATAATGTCGGCTCCTTCGTCGAATCCTCAGTCGGCACGCGAACGTGCTGCCAATATGCTTCATCAAAGATACGGTGCCGCAGCAGCTAGCTCGGTCAGTCAGTTGCAAGCGCAGTCTCACGCATCTATGGGAATACCAGGACAGCAGCACCGTCCTCAGTACCCAGCACAGACGCCCAATGGACAGACGCCAACGATTAAACAAGAGCCGGGCTATCCATCCGCCCCCCAACCAAATATGACTAATTCTCAGACAGATGGTGCAGGGGGCGATGCTTTATCAGATTGGAAAGCGGAGGTTGCACGGAGGCGCGAGGCCGCAGAACGCCAGAACGGCGAGGGTGAACGGTTCCTACGCTTACATTTGAGACAGCGCATGCTTCAGTTCGAGGGAGGCGGACTACTTATGCCTCTAGATGAGCGTCAATCCTCGTCATCAACATCCCGACGGGAACCTCACCCTACTGATGCCCACTCTGCTGTCGAAATCGACTCAATGGCGAACTCTGCCCAGCCTCAGGCGCAGTTTGATGGCCCTGGTGGCGACGATGACAGGGAGGAAGACGATGAAGATGCCATCAATTCCGACCTTGACGATCCTGACGACCTGGTTGCCGAGGATCATGATGCAGAAGATTCTGTTGGACAGGTCATGCTCTGTACATACGACAAAGTGCAGCGC